TAWRSTAAATGTAGGAAAAAAGATTATCAACGAATAGGAGCACGAACACAAAGGGCAGGCAAATGTACAAGCCAACCGAGGAGAACTGAACCATCTGAGTATACCAGAACACATCTTGCAGTAAGAAAAATATTCTAAAACAAAAAAGAGGCTTGAAATTTCGAAATATACAAATTCATTCAAACCAAACTCACTTCAATAGCTTCTTGTGATCCTCGATGTATTGATTCACATCACGGTCGAGCACGACGAGTGTCTTCAACACATCATAGCCGACCTTTGACATACGCATGGCCAGCAAACGCAACTGACCCGCCATCACACACAAACGTGGTACATTAGCTCTCGCTAATTTTTTATCAACACATCTAAGGCGGAGGCCACTGTATCGGCAGCATAGGAGGCGCAAAATATCAACATGATTCTTCGCACGCCATTTCTTATACTTGTATTGAAGTAGTTGTGCTCATCTGGCGCCACAACACGCTCATCTAGTTCCTTTAGTAAATGCTGGATATCGCGAATTTTCGGCTGCTTGTAACGAAAGAGAAAATGCTTTGTGCTGCAAGCTACATCCGTTATAATTATGACCAAGTTTTTGAAGATATCCGCTAGCGTAGGCACCAGAAATAGACCGATTGTTAGATGTATTGGGTAGAATATGGTAACAAAGATATTCACGACAATATCGTAGAGCCCATCAGCTTCCAGCACATCCAGAAAATGTCGAAACACGCCGCACTGTCCGCCGCTGCATTAACGTCAGTCGTTTACCCATGTCTTTGCAAAACAAGCTTCTTCGTCCCAGATTATCTGCTAGAAAGTTGCGCGTTGTGTGCTATATTATTTAAGACGCTTTCTGCATTATATACTATTTTCTCACGGTTAAAAATACTAATGACTGCTGTGTGAACCGGCGCAGTTCTTTACAAATAAAACAAATTTGGAATTACGCTTTATTGCATTTTAATTGTTGTTTACCTTGGCTACAAGCAAATTGATTTCAAATTATAAGCTGCGATTATGAGGATTATAAATAAAATAATTACCGGAGAGGGTGTATATATCTAATGTGACATTACATTTTAAAAAGAACTTCTAAAGCGAGTGATCATTAACGCCATCAAAATTGCCTACATCTGGAATTTTAAGGAAGTAAAATATCAAGAAATACTCAAATTCATAGAAAATTCCATTATCTTTCCCCCCAAGCCGGTGTTACTTAACAATACATACAGGCAATTAAACATATATACATCCTTTTCAGGCAACTGAGTCAATAGAGTAGAAGCATAAATTGAAATTTGGAATGACTGCGAAGAAGTCGGTCCGCTAGTGAGAAGTATGTCCTCACTTTTTAAAAACAGCAACAGATATAACAATAACACAACAGAATCTAGCTCTGTTGAACCTTCTCTCTTCTATTTCTATACTCTTTCAATACTCAAATAACAAAATATTGCCTTTAATAGTAATATATGCCCTCCATTGGATCTTTTGCTTTACCAATTTTGCATGCTTTCGGCATGGTTTCTGTTCGTTATTTATTTCGTTATCTTTTCAGCTTAATAGTTATAAATTTTCCAACGGATCCAACTATGCACCCAAGAGAGACTTCAAACTGTTTTGATGCCAAAGAAATATAAGACTACTCTTGCGGAATGATTTAATCATTTGTTTTGGACTTGAAATAAATTCCTATTTAAATTCCAAACATTCGCAATTTCTCAAGTGTAAACATTACTCATACGCCGTGTTGGGTATGCAAATTGAGGTCAGCGTGTGTATTAAGAAGATGCATTTGCCAATTAGTTAAAATACTTTCTCACTCTCTCACCTCCGTTGAATGTGAAACTGTTGTGATACCTTGTCTTCCCTGTCCATATGCGCAGACATTTATACATACATCTCGTTAAGCATACTTCTGAGCAGAAAGGCGTTGCAAGTAGCAGCMCCGAAAGCTTTTGAAAATTGAGGGCATGCGATTTTATTGCAGTACTTGCTCTCCAAGATGTCTATTAATTAAATACATGTTAATAAAAATCTTACACGCATCCATGTTGACGCCATTGGGGAGGGTTTAAAATGCAATCGGCGAATGATTTCAAAATGATAAAGAGACAGAGGTAGCAAGATGCAACTCTGGCAACATGGAAATGATTGAGGTGGGAAAATCAAGATAAGTTAAGAGCATAACTGACACTTAACCTTCGTATAACTGTACATGCGGAAGAGGAGTGAAGACATAGACCTACTATGTGAAGGAACTGCTGATGATGGCTGCTTAAAAGCGCACAAGATTTATAAATTTTTATAAGCGTATTGGCTTGATGCTCGCTCAAAATGATGAAACGCTGATTTAAGTGCCGATATTAGAATTTATATGCAAAGCAGCACCGCGAATCATGAAGCGTGGTTGCAAATTTACACTCGCACTTAACGGAAGAAGCGTGTGCATTTCCGGGCAATTGCATCGAGCATGCATGGTATGTATCAAATCAGAGGAGTGGCAAAATATTTAAAAATCTTAAAAAGGTATTTAACCAATATGAACATTTTATTTTTGTCTAAAATAAAACAAAAGCAAATTTAGGCAGGTTGTAACGTATTTTCCCAAGGTGCATTTAATGCAAGAAGGTTTTTCATATTATTCCTCTCCAGTGCCGAATCCTACTATCCACCACGTCTATGTCCTATAGCTTCGTCTCTTCGTCATTTCTTATTATCGTCGAGTATGTGTGAGCTCCACTTCTCCACGCGAAAGCATAATTCTTCACTTTTCCACTTATCTGAGTGTGTAAGGCGTTAATGGCTTGGCACGGGTAAGTATGTCTCGTTGTTGCTTTCGCTTAAGTTGCTAGCGCTAACCGGAAAAATGCCTATATGTACTTTCTCAAGAATGTAAACGCTGTTGTCGTCAAGGTTGTTCTAACACACTGACACTATGAAAGGCAGTTAAAGGCTTTAATGGGTTTAAGCAAGTATTGATTTTAATATTCTTGCTACGCATGTAATTTGGGATGAAAAAGTGTGCTTGTTGGATTGGTTTTAATGGAAGGTTGGGCTTGAATATGCGAATTGAGCGCAGTAAAATTGCCTCAAATACAACCTTAAGTATTAAGTTACCTAGAAAAGCATTCCAAATACCAATGAAAACTCAGAATAATGCAAAAAAAAAAAAAACATAAAACAAAGCTACAATGACATTTGTTAATTCTACAATATATATATTATATATACTACATATTCTCTTTTTAAATGAAATATTATCAACATAAACCAAATTATTTTTCACAAATCATGAGAGGTAAGAGAGACTTAAAGGATTTTGGTTGACATTTTAACGAAAGAAATTTCAAAACTTAATTACACGCTCATATACACTTAAACTTTTGCTTTCAATATGCATAATCTATACTCACGCCCTCAAACATTAAGCAATAACACAAAAGTACTGCTAAGCCTGCACTTTAAAGGCATTTCAGCTACTCATAAAGATAACATTGCAAGCTGAAAACAAAATTATTCATACTTTTAATTAAAAGCAAACCACAAAAAAGTTCCGCTATCACATGAAAGAACATTCCAACAAAAAAATACAAAACAAGATATTATAACTTATAATAAAAATATATCCACAAAGTAGTAATCAAAAAGTTCTTTCATGCCTTTCTCCACAATGACGGCATGACGGCGTGGTGAGAGCAGGTACTCGCTGTCCATACCTGGTGCGTTCGCAGCACACACACTCACCGAAACTTGCACATGCCACAGCAGCTTAGCAGCGGCAGCAGTTCAAGGCTCGTGGTGGCCGAAACTGCCAACGAGCCAAAATCGGAGCCTGTGTTTGCGGGCCTGCTTGCAGTTGAGTGTTGGGGGATGGCGGAAAACTTCAATTCTCCGTGGTGTTGTAGGCACTAGCAGAACACAGTAAGCAATAAGCGTGCAGCAGCAAACAAGCGCATACACGCTTACATATTTATGGACACATGGAACTGTTATTTTATTTGTGGATAAGAGTGCTCTGGGCGAAGCAACAAAGTGCAAAAGTGAAACCAATTCAATTGCCGTGCTGCGCGTACATATAACAGTGTATATGTATACCTTGTGTATCTGTGTTAAAGTGAACGTTTTCGCTGCGAAAATGCTCTCCTGAGGTGCAGGAAAAATCTGTGCAAGTAAAAACGCAAAAGAAGAAGTTAAGCAAAGCATAGGGAAAATACAAATTCAAATACTTAAATATGCACATTGCACTGTCGACCTGTCAAATTCGCTGCTCCCAAGCTGGCATGGCACTGCAGCGGTGTTTCGCCGGCAGAAGGAAGATAAGCAAAATAAAAGCGTCATAAAAGCAAACTTTGCAAAATATCCTCACATACACACAGGTAAAAATGTGATGCAAAGTGAGCTTACATGCTCACACGTATATGAGTGTGTACGTATGTGTCTGAGCTTATACAAATGCGAAGTTTATTTGAAAACAAAGCATTAAGCAAACAATCGCTAATTCAATTTGGCAAATACCCAATTGTTTACCAAAAACTACACATGCGAGTGTTGTTGCTGTGCTGAGCGGCAGCTAGATAAATTGCATTGGGAATTGAAACACGCTCAAAAACAAAAGAGGATAAAATGCCTGAATGTTTATTCATACGTATATGTATACTATATATGTGTGTATGTCTGCCAATGTTTACTCCTGCTCACTTTTAAACGCGATTTCTTTTTACCAATCGAAGTAATTGGAAATCGTACTGAGTTCATATGGCAGAAGACGATATTAATTACATATTTCATCGACATTTTCATTCGATATTCGATACATACTGAAATGTAATAACCATCTTCTATTGAAGCATTATGCTTGAGAGGTTATATCCACAGTTGATTGTTTGCGTATATATGAAATATTTGGAAATATCAAAAAATCTGTAAATTAATCAAGAAACCGAGAGTCGAAGAGGGAAGCGAAACGCATTTGCAGACAAAAAAAGAGAGATGCCGAAATTTGGGAGTATGAAAAGCTTGACAAGTTGGCCGACAGACGTAATGCTCGAAAATTCTACGAAAAAATGCGGCGGTTAACAGAAGGTTTCAAGACCGGTGCATACTCTTGTAGTACACTATGATCTAGTAACCGATGCCCAGAGCATACATAAAATTATACAATGAACACTTTTCCCGGCTGCTGAAGGAGGAGATGTCGTACCCGTTTGCCCAATCGATGCTCCTTTCATTAGCAGAGGAAGAGAAAGGCCACCATGCCATTGGAAAGATCAGGTGAAGAAGGATCTGGCTGCACTTGGTGTTTCGAATTGGCTCTAAATTGCTAAAAGAAGAAACGATTGGCGAGCTAATGTTAACTCGGCTATAACCGCGTAGGCGGTGTTTACGCCAGTAAAGAATCTCGATTAAATAGGTTTTTAATATAAATTAACTCTGATTTTCATACTCATTCAGCGCTACTATCGATTTCATTTACTTTCGAACACATATGTAATACAAGTTTACAAATTCTTGATTATTTTCGGTATTTTTCGCTGGCACTTGTCCAGCCTTTGTTCGGTTGAAAGCATGTCGCTTGCATTGTTACTCACTTTTGCATATTTTTTAGCGCCGTGACTTCGGCCATATTGCCTTTCAACTGCATCCACAAAGGGACTGGCTCTCAGTCACACTCACACATACTCGATCATGACGTGTGAGTGCCTGCGTGGCACATGGTTGTGTTCAGCACAATTCCTCGAGTTGTCTGTATGTCATGGCATTGCTTTCTCCATTTTGTTGCTGTTTACCCCATTTGGTACTTTTTTGTGTGATTTTTGCCATTTTTCGTTGGAACTTTTTGCGCTGCCACAAAGGCAAGAGTGTTGCAGCCATCACTCATACACAATGCGCGCTTGTTGTTTTTGTGCTGTGATGAATGCGCACAAGTGCAAATGTAAAGGGAAAACTGACAATTAAAGGTAAATCATTTCACCACTAAATACTTGAAGACAAGCATGCTTTCAATTTCCTTGCAACTTGCGGCGAATAATTCACAATCATTTTCTTTCCACCATACAGCAAAGGAGGGCCTTTTTGAATATTTTTAAAACGAATTTTGTGTCGCGAAACTTGCGTTGCCGTGCAATGCGTCAATTTCTAAATATCTACCGTTACAGACTGCAATGCCAACAATGCATTCAAGCGACTCCCCGCCCATTTGAATTGTGGCGGTGCACTAAGAGAGCCATCAACTAAAAATATTGCAATGGACCAACAACAATTGGTGCAACAACATTAACTGCTTTGACATTTCTGAAATGCGATATGTTCCAGCAGAGTGAAGACCAGCGCTGATGAGTTCAATGTGATTCAACAAGACCAACAGCACTGCAAGTAGATTAAGTGCCCTGCGCAACAACAACAAAAAGTGGTAACAATAACTACGCCACTAGCATATCGCATGTCATTGCTGCTGCTGAGCGCCGCATTTGCCTCTTGCTTCGTTGCATGGGCATACTTCATTGGCGGAAATTCGTACGGCTGTGCCGTTACGCAGTGATTTAGGTTTGCCGAAGTGCGCCGTTATGCTCTGATATGCTCGCCAGTAAACATGTGTGAGTGTGTGTTGTTTATTGCATTTGTGCAGCAAGTTTTCAATTTCCGGTTATTCGGGCTACGATTGAGCTCTTAAGAAATAGGATATGGCCTCGAGTTGGAATTCTGACGAAGCTCCTCAGCACAGTTGTTGCAATAAAGAGAAAATCATGCGCTCGGAAAAGTAGTTAAGCGATTTATCAATTCCGAAATGCATTAATATCCTTTCGTTTTGCGAAAGTATTAGTGTTTGCCACTCTTTTGCTAATTGTTTTAAATTTAAAGTCTATAGTCCTTTCGTAACGACGACCATTCTCTAGTGGATTTATTTGTAAAACTTTTGTTGTTTATTTGTTGTAGAAAGCTGACTTTGTTGACGTTAAATAATAATTACCTGAAATAAAACTTAGAATTTGCAGATTGTAAACCTGAGGATTTAAAACCAAAATTTGACGAAATAACTTTAAAAATATAGTACTCTAGTAAAGCTTTAGAGGTTACGTGGATTTCATAGAACAAAGAACTATTTTCAATATTTTTTTTAATAAAAAAAAACTATAATATTTCATAGAAGTTTTTGATTATTGCAAAGATCATATTTTATAAAGATTTTGTGGGTTTTGTCAAAGGAACATATTTAAAAACGTCGTGTCCGGCAATCCCTCGGAAAAAAGTGCATCCGCGTTGACAGCAGAACTTCTTACGGAATCATCAGTACTAAAAAGAAACAAGAACGAAGGACTAAGTTCGGGTGAACCCGAACATTTTATACTCTTGCAACTTGACAGACATATTCGGCATAATGCTTGTTAGAAAACGTAAATTATTACACGAAGTATATGCACTGTATTGACTAAAACACGCATTGTGATTTTCATTCAGGTAACTCAACCATTGGTCGCCCTGAATTTCGATAATTTTTATATATGGTGTATGGGGGCTCAGAGAAGTATTGACCCAATTCAACCCATTTTTGATACACAGAAATATAGCTGTAAGCAAAGGATTCGCTTTGAATTTGAATTACATATTCCATATATTGACCGATATTATCTGTCAAAAGTCACTATAAATACTAGGGTCCACATAGTCGGTACCTAGGGTCTTAAACAACCCACAAAGGCTTTTTATACCATCTTGGAGGTTTACATGATGAATCGCGCTTTTAGCAGTTTTTAACAGTACCGTTATATGGGTAGTGAGCGGGATTATCTTCCGATTTCATCCATTTTCAAACGGTCGGTAGAAGTTATAATATTTGAGCTGGGTTGTTGTGGCTTTAGTGGCACATTAAAGAGAGGGAAGACCACGCCTTTCTTTAAAGTTAAAAAATTACTTCGTTCTAAACTTGTAAATCGTATCACAAAGATCTGTGCAAAGTTTCATTAAGGTCGGTTGGGTAGTTCGCGTGAAATCTTTACAATCTACTTTGAAAACACAGTTTCCAAAAAAATCTTGACTTTAGAACTATTCTTGAGATGTTCTAAACTAAAACTGGCAATAACAAAGGTATATCCAAATATGTATGAGCGACTAGAGAAGATACTTAGAATACTTATCCAAAACAAACCTCCCTGAGTAGGAAATCCTTGCAAGGACCTACTTTTTAGCGAAGTCGAAATTAAAGTAATATTTCTCTTCATCTATGAACAATTTCTGCGAATCTTCTGTCTTTAAGCTATATACCGTAGATTATATTCAAGAAATCCGACAAGATTTGAATGAATGAAATACTTCAGGAGGCGCCGCTGAATTGAAGCTGATCAACGAGCCAAACAACAACCCAGCTACACCCAAACGACAGCACGCGCATTGCTGCCCTTCAGTCAGCCGCATTCGTGAGCGAATTTGAGACGTGCGCAAGTGAATGCCGTTGGCCGAAAAAGCCAAACCTCGCCACTAATGCCAAATCTTCCGCTCGCTGGAGAAGCTGCAGTGACCAAACGTACATCAAGGTGCGTATGTGTGTGTAAGCATGTGTGAGTGTGAGTGTTAGTTTGCTGTGGACGGCGTGTCGCCTAACACAATTTGTACGTCCGGTTATTTCTGCGCCAAATGCTTTGAGGTTATTTGTAATTTTAACTTGATAAAATTTGAAAGTTCTTACTATCAGATATCAGTTATGCGACAGAAATCTTTTCGGATATTGTGTGACGCGTAAGCGCCAACGACACTTTTTTTTTTTTTTTTGTGTTGTACGTTTTAGTTGTCGAAAAGCAAGCTCCATTTTATGCGACACACATCGCTGACCAAGTAACGAACTATAAAAGCTGGTGGCAAGTTTGAGAAGCCATCAAAAGTTTTATTGCATTCTCGGACAACAGTTGGGTGTGCGTCTCTTGACAAAGTGCCATTCAATAAGTGAACGTGCAACAAAGTGTGCCTCCAAGGATTGAATCTATAGTAGCTTATATTTTTGTGCAAGTGAAAAGAAGAAAAATAAATATATAAAAGCGGTAAAAAAGTATTGAATCTAATTTCAAGCAATTTGAAAAGTGATTTTCTAAGTGGAGAAACATAGAAACATTTCAGGAGCAATAATGAAACGGGTATGTGGTAGATAACTGGACATTCGCTGAAGAATTATTTAATGTTGATGCCGACATAACGGCATTCAGCTATATGTTTAGCGCGAATCAAATGAAATTTCTTTCAAATGTGTGGTTAATATAAGTTTTTGTGTAAATTGTGAAACATTACACCTTTATTTAAAGAACTACGAACTCCAAGTAGCCCTTCGATCTTCTTTCCATCCATGAAAGAAACGACCTTCCGAGCTTTCTAACACTTGACGCCTTACTTTAACTTAATTGTTTTCCAACGCAGCGCTTAAGTGGTTATCAATATTAATCCCGTAGCAGACCACATTGTCACGAAACGTCGAATGATGTGAACGTTGCTTCTCGCAATAAAAGCAAATTATACTCACAAACTTGCACTGGCCTCTCTTCTGTAACAGTATATGCAGAGTCCTTCATGACAAATAGTCATTCTTTATTGCAACCGACAAAGCTTGTGCGCTTATAAATCATTGCTGCCACACCACTTTACACATACACAATGCAATACCAACAATGTGGACACTTGTCAACGGATACTCTCTTACACAATACAGTGCTTGTAGTAACACTGCCGTAAATATAAAGCTACAATGAAGCGTATTCATAAATATTTCACAGTGCAAATATTCAAATATTGCTTTATTGAACTCGATTTCATACAATACACACACACAAACACATACGGTCCCCCTTTTATGTTGCATGTTCACATTGACGATTGTTCGTCCTTTGGCGTTTTTTGCTCTCTTTTTGTACTGACTGAGTGAAATGTTGTTTGTTATTGCAAATTATTCAATTGACAACTTTATGACAACGCTTTCATAATGAATTCTTCAGCAACATGTTGTCAGGAAAATTGAATGATGGTTGGAGAATGGTGGCAAGTTCCATGAAAATATATTTAGCCATCATTTTGATTTATTAGAAGTACATATGTGTATTTGATGCACCGTTATTTATATGATAGGACGCTAACATTTTTTGAGGCTGAAGTGGAGCTGGCCTGACTTCAGGTCGGAAATATTAATTTCAAATAACTCCTTTTCAACATGGCTGGAACCCAGCTCCCTACAAATATCTGAAGCTAGAAATTATCGAATAAAATTCATTTTATTGATGAGGCAAATGCTATATTTAAGAACATATTCTTTGTCTTTTTAGCCCCTCTTAGTTGTGTTATTTTTCTCAAAACATTTACTTTAAAAAACACACACACCCCAACTAAGCTCTTCAGTTTATACAATAACCGAATATTACTAAGAAAATCACAAAAGTCCCATTAAAGTGCAAGTCATATTTAATTACCGATAGTTTACTGCAATGCAGTAAATTATCCCTCCAGTGGGGCATTTTTATGATCTTGCAACATATTTTATTCCAACTGCAAATAGAGCGACATCTACAGCAACAGTGACGGTATATTATAGGCGAACGCTATGGCAATTTCAACACCTTCCGCATTCATACTCTTCAAGAGACTTTAGCTCGGGCAAATTTGCACTAAAGGATAGCTTTACTTGCGCCGTCAGTGTGCTTGCATGCAAATACTTGCATGTATATTGGCTTATAAGCAAATGTAATTTTGCATTCGCATGCAAGCTTCTGACAGTTTGGCCATAAAATATTTACGATTTCATCAAGCTTACTCTTTTACTCACTCGTTCGCTTGCACTCGGTATTCGCCTCATCAAAATGACAGTTGCTAATTTCCCTGAAGTGTTGTGAGCCACTGAAATCGCGCTCGTCATAAAAGGGGGCAAAAGCGCCATAAAAGCGAGATGTGGCAAGTACAAATTTACTTAGAAACAAAACAAACAAGTATAGTGCCATACACACACAAAATAAGCGCATTTAAATGTAAAATTGTTCGTTAGGCACAACGCTAAATAATTAATTTTGTTGGCTCGTTATTTATCTACTCCTGCAGTTCTACTATCTTCTGTGTGTATGCTTGCTGTCGTGCAATGTAGTGCACGCCTCCTATTCACACTTGCAAGCGATTGATTTCTCGCAGTTGCAACAGCAGCAGAAATCATCAATTACCCAACAGCAGCAGCAGCAACAGGACCAACAATCGCAGGAGCAAACTGACACCACCACCGACTCATCCGAAGACTACGACAGCCATCCGCAATACAGCTTCGCATACGATGTGCGCGACACGCTGACCGGCGACGAAAAGCAGCAGGAGGAAAAACGCGATGGTGACCTAGTGCAAGGACAGGTAAGTGCGGAGTAGTAACGGAGTGGCATGACTACTCTAACGAGGATTATGCGTGGATATAAAGCAAAATACACCAAATTCAATTAAAAATTTACTTTCAGTACTCGCTCGTTGAACCCGATGGCACACGCCGCGTTGTGGAGTACACCGCCGACGATATCAACGGCTTCAACGCCATAGTCTCTAAACAATTAGTGGATGAGCGATCGCGTGCTTCCGCCTCGGCCACAGCTTCATCCTCACGCTACAACAGTTTCGAAACGCTGCAATCACAAATTCAAACACAAGCCATCGCCGAAGCTCAAGCTCAGGCTGCATCTTATGCCGAAGCTCAAGCGCTCGCCGAAGCACAACTCCAAGCGCAGGCTAAGGCACATGCCGAGGCCATGGCTCAGGTACAAAGTGATGCCGAGTTGCAGGCACGCATACAGGCGGAAGCCCAGGCACGCGCCCAAGCCCAGCAACTGATGGAGCAGTTTCAGCAACAGTACAAACAACAACAGCAACAACAGCAGGAACAACAGGAGCAATTAGCACAACTGCAACAGCAGCAGCAGCAACGTCAACAGCAACAACAATTGCGTACACAAACCCAACAAGCACAAGAGCGACTGACCAACGAGCAAGCCCTACTGCTGTCGCAATCGCTGCCCTCACGTACACTCGGCCACAGCGTTCACGCTACCGTCGTTTCACACCCACCCACGATCTTGTCACGCACACCCAGCGGCAGCGTATATGCCCAACAACGCGACCTAACCGCATTGAAGGAGTTGCGCGACGGTAGCGCACGACAGATCATCGAACGCACAAACCTCCCGCAAATAGTGATTACTCAACCGGCTAGCGCAACGGTACAAGCTCAAGTCATACACTCACCCTTGCTATTGGACGGCAGCTCGGGAGCAACAGGCATGCGTAGCGTCATCTCTACAAAGATCACCAATGGCAGCGGCAATGGTGGACGCAGCAGCACCATTTCACTACGTGGAGATGCCGGGCGCTTGAGTGCCGCCGACCAATTGCTAAACCAGCTGGACACTGACGATGATGACACACTCACACGCAACAGCCTACGTCTGCTTAGCGGCGGCACTGGCAGCAGCGGCAGCGGTGGCAGCATTAAGGGACGCACCAATGGCGGCCTCAGTGGCAGTAGCGGCAGCAGCGGTCTGAGCGGTTTCGACAGCAGCAGCAGCGGATCCGATGATCGGGGCAGTGATCGTGAAGGCAATGTATTGCGTAATGGACTAAGAAATTCGAATAGACGCTTGCAGAGCCTCTTCTCCAGCAGCGGCAGTGGTTCGAACGGAAACGGCAGTGGCAAGTCGACATGGTAAATGAAACTGGAAATCGGAAAATCTAACACAACAAAACAAAAATACTTTTAAATTCAAACGATTCTAAAACGAGACAGAGAGAAAGAGTAGGACGAAAATGCAAACGAATGTGTAGAATAGACATTAATGAATGTAGAAAGAAATTGAGCGTGTTAGAGTATAGTAAAGGTAAATGAATTCAAAGAAAACTAGTGTGATCAACAGTCAGCAACGATTTGGTAGCGGACCCAGGCTATTCTATAACGGACTATGATTTGCAGCAGCCGCCATCAGTAACGGCATTAACATAGAATTAGATTTAGTTTGTAGACTTGTTTGCATTTTTCTCAGTAGCATTTAATTACTAACAGACTTGTGGTAGAGAGCTATTTAGTTGATTTATATATATATATATATGTATACTTGTATTTTCGGGATTTGGGTGAATTTCAGCTATCGCTTTTCTGCCTTTGCTTAACACAAATACATAATCACAGGCGCGCGCGCACTAACTCTCTCACTAACAACGCTTTTACTACGCTTTCTGCGAGAACATACGAAACGTGAACGAACAGTTAACCGCTATAAACAGCCACTATATGCATGTATATAAAAACGCTTTCATTATTTCTATGTAAAATATTTATTTCCATGCGAAAACTTTGTGATTTAGACTTATTTTATGTTTTCTGAAAATATTGATATTTATAGCTTACTCAGCTGAAGGACCTAACCGTTTAGTATTTTGATGTTTACACAAACTATTTTATTTCTTTCTAAGTCCATTTACAAATATTTATGTATACTAAGGTGTTGTTCATGTTAACGTTATGTGACTAACCAGGCTTTATATAATTTATTCTTACTAATATTCAACTCAATGTTTTTATATTTTTGTATTCAACATGTTCTCACATTTTAAGAATCTAGACATTTAAGTGCAAATTGCAGTTTCTACATGGCATACAAAAAACAAAAAAAAATATTAATAAATGAATTTAAGTTTGCAATGAAAATATCCGTTATTTCATTTCCAAAATAAAAAATATCAAAATTTCAGCGGTCTTCAAACCTAACTGTTCATTTCGTGGTTTGAATAGCTTCGGTTGCTTCACAACAGTTTGAATTGCACTGCATTTGGGATACTCTTCGCCACTGCCAAGCTATATTTGGCTTTGCTGCTCTCGGCAGGCAATGCCAATTGAACTAATTAAATATATAATATTTACATACAAATATATAAAATATATAATATTTACATACCTTGAAAATCATTGATAACTGCATTGTGTTCAGTTGTGTTGTTTCTCAATCAATTTCACAAATTTCATTCACATCACATCACACATGCTTGCAGCGCTTGCTTCTGCCAACAGGCACATATTCACTCGCGGAATTAGCACTTAAAAATCAACGCCCGAGGTATTATTTTTTAACACGACGCTAGATAAATACCCGAACTAACGCATTAACGCACTGGAAACACTCACTTGTCACGATTCTCAATAATACTTTCAATATTTTATTTAACACTTTTGAGCTGCAACCTGCATTTACGTTCGCGAAGAGGAAACTGACACATAACCGCGCTTTGGCGAAGGAAGCGGAATGACACTTCAATGTTGCCAGCCGGTAGCAGAACATGAATTTAGTCGGAGGTGTATGTCTTAACTAAAGCAATTATTTTAATGGTTCTGGTATTGACAGAGCAGAGAAGCAGTTGGGTTGCATAACTGTAAATATACTTTTATGCAACTGAGTCAGAGAATGTAAAGCCTACACCTTCTCTGTGTTTTAAGTTCTCCGACTGAACAACCTTAAAAAAAACCCTTAAACTTACAAAAAACCATTATATTTATGTACGCGTAACAGTAGCAAATATATTTATTTAAATTTGTCTTTCTCTTCMTTCAAAGTGAAAATTCGCTTCCAGTTTTCTCTTTCTCCGAACACATCTTCACTCCTTCGCCTTATCTTCACTGCTCTTTTCACATTSCGTTTCGGYTTCTTTTTTCTCAMATTTCTCAGTTYCTGTSGCACTATTTTGTTCGCCACATTCCTCGTCGCTTTCTGCACCACTCTCTGCTTCGTACAGCACACCGCCTTCCGAATGCTTAGCCAGATTCAAAGCGACGTTCTGCAGTTCATAGAATGAGAAGCGGTGGTAGGCAAAATATTCTGGGTTCTTGTAGTCTTTACATTTGTGTGCGCCTGGACCGAGCACCTCCTTTGGGTCATCCAAAGCCCGATATGCGGTGAGCGGTACGACGTCAGGTGGAGCGAATGCGTCATTTTTGAAAGAATGCTTGGAGTCTGCTGGATTTTCGGTGTCTTCTGATGCTTGTGGGGGACAACACTTATCGGCTATGTAACGTTTGAATTGCGTTGGATTCAGCGGAAGGTGTCTTATTACACTCTGAGATAAATTCGTGAATTTCGAGCAGCCACGCAACATAATTACATGTATGTTTGTTTATAAATGTTTTAAGTAATATATAAATATTTTTAAATTTTTTATATTTCGCAAATATTTGAAGCTTTTTATTTGTTATTAAAAAATTAAAATAAAGATTTGTATGTATATAAATATTGTTGATATAATAAAGCAAGAATATGTGATCAAATGTCAGTGATGAGTAGATCAACAATTCGTAAGTTTCCTAGAATTTTACCGGTTTATTGAGTTCGATGTTGCCAGCTGCTGCTAAATAAATAAATGTCGTTTAATGAAAGTTGTTTAGATTAAGTTGCATATATTGAGCTTCAAAATTATTTGTGTTAACTATATTATTTTAACATTCTACCATTAGTTGGGCGGATACTGCTGCGTTGTCGATAAGGCAGTTTAAAACTGTAAATTATCTCCAACACGAACCAGTTGAATCTTCATGTATAGGGTTTGTGTCTTTGCTACTAAGGTTGCCAAATGAACCATTTTCTGTAATTATCTGATTTATGCGAGGATAGGCTTAATGGTGATTCATATAGCAAAATTTAAATTTTTGATTTGAACAAAAGAATATAATAGCTTGTCAAAAAAGTCTTGCGGTATTCTAATTGAATTTTTTTTTTTTTYAATTTTCGATTGTTCATAAAATTATTTTTGATGACTCACGCCCAGCTCTTGACCGATGCTACGGCTGCTACTATGCCGGTCTCTTTCGACCAATTCAGCGATTTTATCGCAATTTTCGACRMCARRCCTTCCGGAGCGTGGCGCATCTTCKACCACCTCTACACCAGAAYGAAAACGTTGAAACCATCGTTGTGCGGTGGAAATGGAAACTGTATCGGGTCCATAAACTGCACAAATTTTATTGGCGACTTGAGATGCATTTTTGCCTTTATCGTAGTGGTACTGTAAAATATTCCGTATTTTTCTTTATTTTGCTCCATGTTTGACACGCTATAACTCATGAACGACTTAAAAGAAAAGACAATGAATCACACACGTGTTAGCGGGTGAAATGGGCTTTCCAAAAAGGTATAGCATGACCCGATGCGACGAATAAAACTAGAACTACGCGTTCTCAGCGTCAACTAACGAAAATGCCGCAAGCCTTTTTTGACAACCTAATATAAATTTAATAAATATTGGTTAGTCTTTTCGTATTTCTAAGCAATCTTCAACTTATTATTCCAGCAGTGTAAAACTTTTTTGGTTTCTCGATCAAAAACTGTGACAAGTAATTTTCACAGGCTTCTTTTGAAGCCAACTTTACTCCATTAAGGGAGTAATGCATTGACCGAAAGAAATGCTTGTCCGTTCAAGGCAAGTTCAGGACTATGTGGTGGGTTCACAAAACATTCCAGCCAATCTCTCCCAGTTTTTGCTGAGTTTTCAAAGATGTGTGTGGTCTAGCGTTGTCCTGATGGAAGACTAAGCCCTTTCTATTGATCAGTTCTGTTCGTTTTTTTTGATTGCTTGCTTCGATGTTATCAGTTGTTGAGAATAAAATGTCGAATCAATCGTTCGAAAAGGCTGGAGCAGCTCAAAGTAGATGATTCCTTTCCAATCCCACCAAGCATTAAGCCTAACCTTTCGGGGCATCAATCCTGGCTTTGTGACCACTTGTTGAGCTTCACCACGATTGGACCCTACTTTTTCGCATATTATTGACATAGTTGATTCACTTTTCGTCTCCTGTTACCATTCACGTCAATTCGGTCCATTAAATTTTAACAGACAATTCATTTGGTACCCAAACGTCGAGCTTCTTTTTGTAGCCAGACCCTTTTAAATTGATCAAAAACAATTGATGATGAATATTAAGTTCCTAAGCGATGTCGTGGCTGCTTATGTGACGGTCCTCGTCAATCTTTTTCATAATTTCATCGACTTTTTCAACGATAGGTCGACCAGAGCGAGGAGATCTTTCACATCGAAATTTCCAAAACGGAAGCAAGCGAACCATTGCTGCCCTACACGAACTGATACAGCATCGTCTCATACCGATGTATAATGTATTCAATTTGCTGGAAAGTAATGCTTGGCGAACCGAAGTCAGCTTAAATCTCAGAGATATACGCGTTGCTGTAAACACTCCACAATGATGTTAATGTAGGCACTAAGTCAGTGCAATATGTACAGTTACTGCAGTATTTATGCCTAAATAAGTGGCGGTACTCCCATCGCTGCCAGTTACAATGGGTTTCCGTTTGCTATTTTCAACACCTCATTAACTAAGAGATAGCTCATAAAGCGCCATAAATCTAGAAAAACTTTACATGCTGCTCGCGCACCCGGCGGGGTAAACAGAAGCGGCTGCCAAAAGAATTTCATACACACCAACGAAAAGGCGAATACACACAGCTGAACTCCTACACACACACTTGCATATACACAATTCTAAGAAATAGTTGGCCAGCACTAAATATGAGTATGGACAAAGATGTTAACGCTCGTGCCAACAGCAGCAAGCAACGTGCTAGGGACAACGTGCCGATCTAATGCGCATGCGCAGCGTCTTTGGCCGCTAGAAAACGCTTTGGCATTTCCACTTGCATCATTATGGTTCATTGACCAAAACTAAGCAAAGAAATTCGCTAATTTAAATAAAAAGCTACGCCGTTATGGTGGTTCCGTTGAAGCTGCGCCGATTCGGTGCAAATAACAGTAGCGATGACTGGGACCACGGCAGCGGAGCTTGTCTAGTTTCTGCTTTGGTACATCTAACTTATTGCTTTTTTGGCATTCCTTACTTTCTGTAAGCTGTTGGGTTAGTGTTTACTTTAAATTTTCAGAGGTTTCAGAGTAATGAATGAATGGGTACTTGAAGAGCTGCAAAAACTAAATATGCAAACAAATGCCGATTTGAGACTCTTACGTTTTATGTTATGTAGCATATCCGCTCTACAAAAGGAGCTTTAGCTTCAGCCTGAAATAATTAATTATCTGATGATGCGTGGGGAAGGAGATGGTTTATTGCTGCCTTGCATATTTTAAACTTATTTCTTTCAAAATTTTTACTATAGTTTTGAAGTCTCATCAAAGTTTTTTCTTCCTCTATCCGATAAGTAAATTATCAAAAATATATCTGTAGATATTATTCAGGAATAAATTGATATTTACTAGAGTTCATAATATTACATAGAAAATGTCCCTGCTATAAAATAAGCCATCCCATCAAAAACCATATTTGAAAGCAAAAATTTATGGGACCGTCTCAGAGGATCCAGAGTTAGTAACTTTGAACTACTGAAAGCAGATTATATAGCAATATATCCGTATAACATAGTCTTGAGATGTGTCAGTGGCTTACGGCTCAATGAATGTTGAGCAGCTGACATAATCCCGTTGGAAAACCATGACCACCAAGACACAAAGACGGCTGAGCATTCACACTTTACTGCTTAATATATAGGTGTTAAGAAATGAGGAAAAAACCCTTTAATAGCCTTGACAGACGGCAGCGTTAATCCGGATTAACTGAGCATTTAATCAGATCACAATGTGTAGGTGACAGACGGCAGCTATGCGTGTCTGAAACTCTCGTAAATTGCTGATTGTCATTTTTATAATACTTTCAATGAAAATGGAGAGAAGATAAACATTGCGGATTAATGCAGTTAATCTGGATTAACGCTGCCGTCTGTCAATGCTATAAGTGAGCCCTTTTACACCAGCGAACAAACTACTAAAAATTAAAGCTCATTTGGGTATACTTTATTTTTGCTGATTATTTGTAATCCTCGTTGGCAAATTTCAGGCAGCTGCCTCTTTCACTTCCCGAATTGTTACCATTTTCGCTGCTGTTGCAATTCCGCTGATTTCGACAATTTCATGATTTTATTGTTTTTTGGTCATATCAACGTGGGTACTTATGAAATTGCCAACGAATTTGATTTATTTTATTGTCTTAATTCCAACAAGTGGCAGATGACATCAAGACGAAGGCAAAAACCGAAAACGCCAGTAGTTTGAGACTACTGCAGCTGCCGAGGCGCAAGTAAGTCGAGCTGTCACATGGGTGCATTATTGCCTAGATACGTCAATTTGCTTTTGTTGTTATTTACTGCAGCGTCTTCTCAACGTCTGTTTTTGCCATGGTCTTCTCCTGCCGTTTTCTTGCGTGTTTTTGCAGCTTTTTCTGCTGTTGAGTCTAAGTTCTCAAGACCGCCGCGTAAGCATGTGTCATGTGGGGCTCCGCAAGTGTTCACAGTCCGTCAGTTGGCTTTCGCGTCACACAGACTGTGTGAGTTTGCTGACTTCGCTGAGTGCGCTGCTTGATTTGCTTCACTTTTCTGGATGGAGGGGAGAATGCAAATTATGCAAATTGCACACTAAAAAGGTGGAAAATCGTGGCTGGGAACCCAGGCGAGTGAGTAGAGAGTAATTCAGCCAGGCATGCCGCGTCACTGCAAAAACAAATACAATGCGAACAATGCGCAGTGATGAGGAGCATGCAGTGCGACCAGACGCAAATGTCGGTACGTAGATAATTTGCACCAAGTGTGAGCTGTCAGTCAGTGTCGTCGCTGCGTGCTTCTAACAAAATCCTCACACATATTCATTTTTATGGCGCAGCCGCATACAATGTTGAGCAGTTGTAAATAATTTGCCGTTGACGCATGCTCCCAGCCTCAGCGCCGTCCGTGCCTACCGTGGCATTTGCCATCACTTCCAAATATATTTTTATCGGCCTCAAAGCATTGTTTGTGTTTCGGAAGAGTGAATTAGAGAAAATAATTTATATCATGGGAAATCCTTTGATACAATAATTACTCATGGCCACCCGGTAGAGAAATAAATTTAAATGTAATATATGATATAAATATGCATTTAGGATATGAGAACTTCGAATTCGTGTTAATGGAACTTGGAAGCAGCTCCGTTCAGAATGATGTTTTCAAAAGCACTTTCAAGGCCAATCCATGCAATTTGAAATTCTCAGCCTATCTGCCAAATAAAACGCAAAAAGCAGATTCCGCCAAGTCCTATTACAAAATTGGAAACATTTGGAAATTCACAAGCGTGCTTATAATGCAATTTGGGCATCCACAGGTCAGCCGACCCGGTGATTTACCC